TGGGGGGGGGGAGAAAAAAAAAAAAAATGTGAGAAACTCAAATTTTCTCGCCATGTATTGTTTTGCAGTTCAGGATGTATGCCTTTGAGCAGGTCTGTCAGGACAGAAGGTCTTACTGACAGCACTGCCTAGCACAGACGCAGTTCAGTCCGATTCGTATGTCAAAGACTACCCCTCCGAAAGGTATGTTAGGAAAAAAAAAAAAAGAAATTCTGTGGTGGTTAACACTGCATCAAACAGCCCAACTTAGTAATTCACAGTGATGAGCCACCGCCTTTGGCTAACCAGCTAGAATTTCAGCTGCACGTACAGCCATCTCACAGGCTCAAATTTTAAAAATCAGTAGCGCGGTATTCCAAGGACAGGTAAAGCCGGCTTCCTTCCATCCTCACTGTGAACAGTAAATTGTGCTGGCTTTGGTTAATTTGCGCTAACGGGAGAAGATTGCTGTTCAGGGTTCATTCACAGTCCCGTTTTCCTGGCACTTCCAGTAGCTGCCCACTCCTAAGTGCAGGAGCTGAACCAGATTCAAGTTCCCATGGCTGGCGCTTCACATACCTGCAGTATCTCCAAGACGGCGACGGGCTGCAGTACCCCCATGTAATGCTGCAAGAGCACGCCTTCCGTTATGCCTGGCTTTGTCATGATGTGGTAGAGCACAGCTTCCATCATCCCCTTACACACAGGTTTATTCAGGTTCCCATCCACGATCCTCCACGGTCTCCCGATGAAGCAGACCTTCTCGCAGGCCCTGCAAAAGGCAATTTTAAGTTCAGTTCTGTCAGGAGTTACTTTACTAGTTAGGTTTCCCATCATTATTTCTGCACAATTGAGATTCTTAATAATAGAGATAATAATGCCTCATAACAGACATCCAGTGTTCGCTCACATCCGAGGGGTAATTTCTGTGGCTGCTCTGTGAACGGGCAGAGACTGGTGCTAATCCCCTAGACCTTTCCACAGACCTGAAGTACTTCACACGAGGTGTTCACCGCCCAAAAAGCACTTTTAGCACCATTAAACCACCCAACAATTAACCTTGAGTCTTGATGACCGGGAAAGCTTTGTTCCGCTGCTTTGTCACTAGCTCTAATATCCTCCAGAAGTTAGCCAAGACCTGCTTCCACCTGCAGCATGCAGCAATGGTGCTCAGATAGGAAACCAAATTCCTCATTTTTAGTATTTTGGAGTCAAAAGACAGACACAGCATGGAAATTCACATTTCCCATATTGTGGTTTCTCCAGGCCTTTCCTGGGTGCATGGAAACGGAGACTTTCTGGCATTGGATTTATTTGAGAAAGAAAATCAGTTTTGTCCCTCTGATATTTGGAGCTAGTTGGTTTTGGGGAAACAAAACCCCAAACCAACTTGTATCAGAATTTTTTTCAGCATGCGTACAAGCACGAGTAACATTAACCAGAACAATGGAGGAAAACATGGGGTTTCTCCATCAATGCTCGCTGCCCAGCAGAGCATAAAACTAAGGTTTCCAAATCATTTGCTTCCAGGTATTATTTTGGTAGCGCTGTTTAGTTACTCTGCAGACATCTCTGTTACTCACCGGTCCCTGGCTGCCTGGGATACATCTGTCACAGAACTTCCTGGAAAGAAAACATAGTTTTTAATTAACCCAAACTCTTTTATCTAGTGGAAGGGAAATAAAAGGTGGCTACGCTGTAAAATGCAACAGTGCTAGAAAATAACACAAGCAAACTACACCGCGGGTTGTTCTCAGTTGCACGGGGAGCTCTGACTGCCATCGCCTGCCTGCAGCAAACTCACTCTTTCACACGCCTCTTCTCACACTTTTTGTGGTGCCATTCTCAAATCGCAGCAAGAAGTTTTATTCCTGGAAGTCTGATGACGTGGCTGAACAACAAGTAATTCTATGGGCCGAAGGCACGGAGTTTCACGCGGAGCGCTATGCGGGGTCTCGGCATGCAGGCACTCACGTGGGTTTAACCTAACGCCCCTGGTAACCATACCGAAGTTGAGCAGAAGGCTGAGTAGCTGTAGGCTTGAGAAGGCAAACGCAAGATTTCAGCAGAGTTCGGTTTCAAAGCGAAGGTTGTCTCTGCAACTGCCATTACACATTATGTCATGGGATTTAATTATACAATTACTTAATGCAGGTACTTCTACCACACCCAGAGGCTAACAGCTTTGGCTTAAGCACGTGTCAGCCCTTCACGCTGGCCTTCATCAGTAAGACCGGCAAAAACTCTATGCTAGATAACATAGCTACTGTTTTTTCCCTCCTGTGTTACGAACAAGTAGAGGAAGTCAAATCCAAAACAAGACTTCAGTAGTTTCACGCTAAGAACTGCTGAAGTCTTTGCTGTTTAGACAGCCCTGAGCCTGTTTCCTGCAGGAAGGCTCCAATTAAACAATGCCAAGCCCTAAGATGCTACGGATCAGCCTGCACTGATTCACACGGCGGTCTGCAGCTGTAAACGTGGGTAACGGCAGATCTTGGCAAAATACCACACAAGCAGTTAGCTTGTGACTCAATCTGAAATCAGAGCTGATAAAAACAAAACCAAAACAAAATCCCCAACAACCTACTTAACGTAAAGCTTGGCAAGAACCACTAGCTATTAGAAAAAAAGAAAAGTGGCAGTAAAAAGGAAATGAAAATGAAGTCAAATTGGGTTACAAACGAGGCTATTAATCTTCTTGCTGGAATGAGCTGCTTTCTGGTGAATGGTTTAATGATTTTAGAGCTTTCAGTCACGGGCATTCTAGTTAAATGTACACCAGTAGCACTGTGTTTTCTAGGTTTAGAGATGTCTAGCCTTTGTACTGAAGCCAGAGATGAGAAACTGGAGATCCAAATATGTTTTTGGAGAAGAGTAAGACACGAAAACAAGTTTCTGGACTAGTCATGAACATTCCAGCAATAGGCATAGGAAGGAATCTTTGATGTGTTTGAAACCTCCAAGACCTTCCCTTTCAAGCAGCGTAACGCTACTTCATCTATGAGAAATGAAAACCTCCACTGCTGGTACGGCTTCATAAAGAATCTAGTTTTTGCTTATAAAATGGAGCTACCGGTTTGGGATCCCCTGATGAGGAGCTAGTCTCTATTTCTGGGACGTAGAGTGCTCCTACGTACCTTTAGAGACTCCTGGGTTCTCCTGCAAGTCAGCAAGATCATCATCCTGCTCACTGGCTGACTGGTCAAGGATAGGGACCTGCTTGTTGTGCTCCATGCTGAGCTCATAATTCTCTTCAAGGTCTTTGTCCTCAGAACAAGATTTATCTTGTTCCTTGTAAGTGTCCACATTCACAGCATCTGAAGCGCACACCGGGTGTTCAGCTAGGTGTTCTGTCTGCCCCCCCAGGGAGCCTGTTTCTTCATCCATGACTAAAGCTTCCTTCACTGGAACAGGATCAGTAACATCTGCATCAGAGTTACCTGCATTTGCACTTTTCAAACCACTCTGTGAACCCTGGCAGAGTTGATTGCCATCTTGAAGGGCATCGTTTTCAGTCTTACATCTCTTCCTTGGGGGTTCTTCATCAGTGACAGATGGTGTGTCTTTTCCCAGTTGCTCCTCCTCCTCCTCTCTGGAACACTCCCCTCCCTCCTTTGGTTCTGACGGCAGGCAATCCTGTTGTACCTCTGGGAGAGTGGTTTCTGCACCTTGCTCATCACAGTCATCTGGTTTATTCTTCAGACATACCGAATGTAATAGCCATGGCTTGGCAAATATTATTGCAACCAGTCTTACAGTGTGGCCTCCAACTTCTAAAACCTGCTGCATTTCAATAAGGTCCTATTAAAAGAAAAAGCCAACACAAAAATTGTCTTGGGAGCTTTCACTAGAAAACAACAGTTTAACGAAATATCGTGGTATTGCCATCTTTAACTGTCAGCAAAGGAAGAGGAAGAGCTTAATAGAACATTCAATTTTCTGTCCTGCTGCTCTGAAGTTGAAAAGACGTTTTACCCCTTCAACTTTTCTGAAATTACAGCACAAGATATTTTTGTTCAACTTTAATTAAATTAAAATGTAACTAGGAAAGAGTATTTTGCTTCCAAAGGTGAATGTTGATACCTTTAAGTTCATTCCCATCTTTGATTTAATTTTTGTTGAGGTGAGGTTGCTATCAGGTATTGGTATGTGATCTCTTGCCTAATATAAATAGCTTTGTTCAATTTGTATTTGCTTCCTACAGCCTGGCAGATTCTATTCAAGGGCAATACTAAGCATGCAAACATTAAAGTATGGAAAGCAGCTGGCTGTAAAACCACCTGAATGTACTGCTCCAAGCTCCTGGTGCGTTCAGGTTCCACCTCTTCATAGCTGCAGAAACGTTTGCTCAGCTCAGCTTTGCAAATTCCAAAGTGGGAAGTCGCCTCTATTGCATTACGGATCTCCAAAACAGCAGCTACATCTCTGGGATTATAGCCATAGCGTTCTGTACACTCAGGAAGAAACCGATCAACCTCATAACTTTCTTCTTGGACTTTTATCAGCCTGGTAAAAGTTTCGGGGAGGCAGGAGACACCCACAGTCATGTTATCAAGCAGAGAAGAAACTGCAAAGCAAATAAAAAACAAGTGTATAAGCTGTGAAGCAGTTGTGACTATGCAATACACTACAGAAAGGTCAATATTCCAAGGCAGACAGATCAGAGGTGTTTTAGACTATTCCAATTAAACACAGAGCTCAGTTTTCCATCATCGTTGCTGCAGTTTCTTTTTTTATTTCTGCCTTACATATTTGTCTCTGAAAAGACCCACAGAAGAGCAGCAAGCTGGTTTACAAGGGCTTACCCTCATACCAAAGTGAAGTCTCACTGACAGGCAGTGTAGACTTACTGGCGTTCTCTCTAAAACTGGGTCAGCTTAACTCTAAGTTAATGAGGGAATCATCTCCTTTTTTCTTGAAGAAGGTCAAGCAAAAAGTCTAGGGCAAGGAAATGCTATGGAGGACCAGATTCAAAGAACTGGAAGCAACTGATCCACGGCAGAAAGCCATTGGCCAAATGCGGCATAAAGGACAAGCTGACAACGTCTCTCGGTACAGTTAGCGTAACAAAGCATCTTCTGCGTCTGGAGACAGGTCCATCACTGCACAAACCCGACCCCCGCTGTCCGGAGTATTCACAAGTTGAAGCAGCGTTAACACCTTTCTCCAGTCCTGGGTGACCAGAGGGCACTGTTCTTACCGGCTCCCCACCCGTGTATCTGCAGGCTGCCTTTACATCGTGCTTTGGGGGACGCTCAGATGGCAGCCGCACTTCTCTTGATGGCCAAGGACAAATGAGAACTGCCATGAGCCGTCAGCTCAGCAGAGCTGGAGGGCGCGTGTGGCAGCAGAGATACGAGAAAGAGCTTCTATTTTACCTCTACCACAACAGCAATAGGAACAGGCAGGGACAGCACTAGACCTTCCAACTAAAGAGCTAAACAACTAAAGGCTTTCCTGGATACGTTTGCATTACGGTTTACCTCTACCACAACAGCAATAGGAACGGGCAGGGACAGCACTAGACCTTCCAACTAAAGGCTTTCCTGGATACGTTTGCATTACAGCTGAAAGTAAGCTGCTCTTCAGGAGGGGAGAGTGCTGATAAATTGCAAATATTCCAGCTCTAAATATTATCAAAATGATAAAATTACTGTAGGTAAAAGGCCAGGAACAGGCAGGGACAGGAACGGACCTTGACAGCAAAGAGCTAAACAACTAAAGGCTTTCCTGGATACGTTTGCATTACAGCTGAAAGTAAGCTGCTCTTCAGGAGGGGAGAGTGCTGATAAATTGCAAATATTCCAGCTCTAAATATTATCAAAATGATAAAATTACTGTAGGTAAAAGGCCAGAGATTGGACACCACTATTTCAGGCACTTGCACAAGACAAGTAAATGTGAATTTCCGTTCAAGAAGCTCTGAACGATTTTCTTTTCTCTTTACAGAAGAGAAAGCCTGGGTGTGACATAATATGGCATTTTAAGTTGCAGAAGGGACTGAAAAGCCTCCTGGAGAAGGGATAATAGAGCAGAGGTCAGAATTCCTCTTTGGATTAGTAGTTTCACACAACATGAAATACAGGCAAGGACTTGTTACCAACAAAAGGTGCCTCTAAGTCAATCACCTGTTTGTTTTAAGCCAGGAGAGAAAGCATTACAAGGCAAACTGCACGTGTAATGAAAAAAGAACATTCACATTAAGAGGTTTTTGTTCAAATCCGTTCCTCAGCTCAGGAGTTCGCTACCTTTCCTGCTCCAACCCACTTCTGTGCAAGTTAGGACAAACAGTCACTGACCTGGAGAGCTGAGTCTTCCGGGAACGGGTGTACATCGCAGCTTAACCTTCACCTGGCAGGAATTGACCACAATATTGTCACTGGGACTCAGATTGCGCATGCTGACAATTCCAGGGGCATAGTAGCCTCTCATCAGTAAGTAATTGGTATGAGATGCTTGGCGAGCTTTTACTTCTATTCTCCGTTTGCCTCCAGAGCTGTCATCTAAGTCATCATCATCGTCATCATCATCCTCAAGTCCTTCTTTTCCCAAACTACAGCAAACAGAGGTGGTTTGTTTGTTAGTTGTTTGTTTTTTGTTTTTTTTTTTCCAAAATAAGAAAGTGACTCATTACACCGATCAGAGCAAGAACACATGCTATTCTGCAGTCTAGTATTTAGTCACGAACAGCTGTGGGTATGTCCGTAACAGGCTGATTTAGAGTGCTGAGAACAAGCAGCTACAGAAAAGAAAATACACTAAAGGTCCTTGGGAAAGAAAACCCTCTCTTTTTTGCAAACATGTTGAAAGGAACCCGAAATATCTCAGCTTACAGTGCTGAACCTCTTTGCAGACACTTCATCATGAGGGAACATCTGTCAGAGCACAAAGGCTGAGACCATAAGGGATACTGCAGTATAGGGCAGACAGTGTTTATTTTTAAGGGAGAAAAGGAGAAGAAAGAATTACAGACCAAACACTTCAGTTACTCTTAAAAAAAAACCACAAAAAACCCACAAACAAACCCAAACCCCAAACCCAACATAAAACAAACTGCAGACAGCCTCAAAGTAAAAAAAAAAAAAAAAAAGAGTAGCAGCAGCAGCCAGAATAGATTTTCCAGAAACAAACTTAGTCAAGCCCACGCTATTTCTTTCCAGGACACAAGAGCCATTATGGATAAAGGTGAAGGCTCTGAACAGCCCCATCTAACTCTGAAGTTGCCTCTGGTTTTACAGGTTGTGCCAGAGGCAACCAAAGGTTCCTTCCAACCTTTTCAAAGATGCGTTAGACCTCAAGTACCTTCTGTTAAGACATATTTAAAACCAAAAGGGAACACATCATTTAGAAAAAACAGCATGAGTACATAACCAGTTGGAAAACTGGACTCAGATGACTGCACTCAGAAATGGGACTGGTCCAGGGTTTGGGGTACTTTTGTGAATGACCTGGGTGATAAAATAGCTTATTAAGTTTGCACGGGATCACCAAACTGGAGAGCCTGCAAGTTTATAAGATGACAGGATTTGCGTTCAGAACATTTCCAGCAAACTGGAGGAATAGTCTGGAAAAGAGCAGGAAGCAATGTCATACGGACAGATGCATGTTATATGTTATAGTACTATGCACCTGCCCCTCCGCACTAAGAGGAAACAATTAATTAGGTGAAGGAAAAGAAACTTGTTAGAGTGAATCACAAGAATCATAAGCTGTACATGAGTCACCACACTGGGGTTTTTTGGCTGCTTTTTTTTTTTTTTTTTTTTTTTGGCAAGACCATGGCCATTCATCATCTTGGGATGTATTAGCAGGCATATCACCTATATAACACGATGTAATTGGCACAGACCTGCTGGCAAGAGCATGGCATTTGTTTTTTGACATCACAGTGCAGAGGAAAATCATGAGAAAGACAAAAAGATCTGGATAACATGAATAACAGACCAAAAACACAACTAAAGGAACTCAGGCTGCTCATTTTAAAGAATAGCATGTTATGGGAGGACGACTATGATTACAATCTTCAAATAGGTAATACGCTGCTCTGAAGAGAAAGAACAAAGTATTTTCCATGTATATGTACAACAGGAAGCAACAGGTTAAACTACGGCGAAAGATTTTAGTTGCACTCTAAGAAAACACATAACGATTGTAAGGATAACTATTCATAGGATTAGCCTGCCTAGGGAGAGAGTTTCAATTTAAATGGTATGCAATTACTGGAGGCTTTTAAAAAAAAGAAATAAAATCAAAGAGACAATACATAGAACTGCTATTGTGGAGAAAGGTTTCACTGATAAAGCTGAAACCTTGTTACTAATCCTTCTTAGTCCTTGAAATGGGAAGGTGCAATGATGAAAATGCTCACCTAGCACACACTGCTCTCCTTTCCACATTAGCTCTGATGGCAATGAAGGGCCTAGCAACTTAAATGTCACATATGTGAAGACAAATGCAGTCCAAGGCTATAATGACAGGCACTAACTAGAGTGCCATTAAAACTTCAGAATGCTCCCTCAGAAATAAAAATCTAAACAATATCACAGTAAAACATGCCACAGTACAGTGTAGAAAATGCTGATGCCTGTCCAATTTCATTCAGGTTACCCCCAAACTGTATTTACCAACAGAAATAACACTGTTTACCTTTTTATCACTTCATTTTCCACCATAGTGCTGTCCACCACAACTATCTGCTCTGGGATTCTCACATTCACAGATACAAGTCCCAGGGAGAAGAGGGAAAGCATCGCCACACAATGGCCACCAGGTCCATCCATAGGAAACGCAATCATTCCTTCTGATGCTTTGTTTTCTTGATCTTTAAATGAGAAGTTATCTGGCTGGTCTGATTTTTCAGCATCCTTGAGCTTCTCTAGGAACTGAAAGGACTCTGTACAAATTGTGCTAGGAAACCGCCACGTAAAAACTCTGGGCAAAAAGAAAAATTCAGAGAAGCACAGAACTTTCATTATCTGTTCTTACTGTGTATGAATTTTAGACCCTCGGTAGCACATGAAGTTCCATGCTAGAGCTGGTGACCAAGTACCTTCTCCATCTGCTTCCACAGTCCTTTCACTAGTTCCAGAACATCAGGTACTTACGCACCACATAAAGGTCCGGTACTATATAGCAAATACAAAGCACAGATCTCATCTTCTGCTTGAACACTGAATGCATTTCCAGTTAAACTCTCCTGCCCCACCCCAACAGCCAGGTACAGCGCAGCACAAAGTAACTGGACAGGAAAAGCAAGCAACCATCAGAATGACAAGAGTACTAAAGAAATTTTTGCACCATACCTAGAACTTTGGTGCTACCTCTCCTCTCCTCTGCAGGTGTCTTTGTAAAGGCTTGCCCAGCCGACTTAGCCCTATTCCCCATACAGCCCTGAATAAAGGGCTAGCACACATACCTAGATGTTACCTTCATCTCTTCAGCTGTGATGGTCAGGTTCTTTGCTCTAGATACTTCATGTGTATTCTCTCCTCCATGCCAAGCGTGCCTGGGTAGGTTCGTTTGTTTTCTCAAACAGTGACCTTTCTGACACTCACCTGTAGTAACTCTGAGACAGCTGATACGACATGGGTACAAAAGGCAAAGCCCGGCTTTTCTTTGGTCCCAGCGTGTGGGTTACTCGACGGCGATTGACCAAGCTTCTCTTCTGACACTCTAGGAAAGCCTTCACAAGAATGTCATCCCGGTACTCCCGGTACAAACGGAATGTCTGCAAAAAAATCCCATTCTATGTAAAGGGCCGTGTTAGCTCTGAATCCGCTGTTAGACTCACCTACTTGAGATTTACATCAACTAAATTAACACGGAGCTACAAGCCAGAATGTAAATGATACTTATAAATTCACTTAACTACAGTATTCTATTCCTTTTATAGGATTCAAGGCTTTCCACAGCAAATGTCAATTAAATTAACTAAATACTAAAGAATACTTGTTATTCAAAATGGGATCAGGCTCCCACTAGAGTTTTATATATAAAAAGTGCTCATCTGCAACATATTTTGGTAGATTCTTCCCATCGGTTTACTAGGAAAATTTGCTTCCATGAGCTTGCCTTATAGATTATTTATTTCTGTGGTCCCCAATGCTGAAGGAGAGGATTCCCAACACCAGTCAGCTGGTACTAGGACTGTCTTTGGGATATCTCCTCCAGAGCATAATTCCAACTGCTCAAGCAGGCACTAAATCATGATACAGTTTGACCCAGTGGAAGGGACGTGGAATTCATTTCATATAGTTTTGGGGCATTACTTCAACCTCACACCTTGCAATTTCATCCTCAGAGAAAAAAGCAATGTACCGAAAATCTGCCTAAAATATATAATTTCCTAAAAGCAGAAGAGAATAATCTCAACAGAATGGATACAAACCTAAGTTCCTGGGTTTCTTTTCTCCCATTTGAAAGAGGCATATATCAAAGTAGGAAGGAGAAACTCTAAAGAGTTGTATGACCAGTAAAGTTTGGTCCAGATACTGTACCTGGAATGACTGGCAGGATTTCATCTGGTTATCTGAGAGTGCCAAAGTGCTCTGAATCAAATTCTGTAGCACTAGAAAATGAATATCATAGATGCTGGAAAAAAAAAAAAAAGAAAAAAAGTTTATTCATGATGATTTTTGAGCAGGAGGTACCTAACTATTAAACTAGCACAAAAATACACAAACTCGATCACCTGCTTCTGAAATAGATGTATAAAGGCATGAGATCGCTGCAGCTGAGGATCACTCAAGTAAAGGAGCCTGTTACATTTTCCCTGACCTTCCACCCTGAATTTTTGGATCAGTCCAGATGATCCAACACAAAACAAAGTTCTCTTTGTTAACATCTCCTCCTCTTGAGGTACAGCACCCACACAGAAAACATACACTGTTGTCCTAATGACCACAGACCACCGTTTTGAGAAGGGCATCACTGCTGTCATTTTATTCGTCAAATCTCTGACCTGTGTCGGAGGTCCCCACAGCCTTGTGAAAGTATTTTTCTATTAATAAATAGAAACTGCAGCAAACAGATGAAAAACGTACAGAATTAGAAGACTACATGACCTTCACAGATGTGAGGGCCGAGATAACCTTGGAGTCCTAATGGGAAAAAATGGTGCTATTGCTACTCACCTGCTTAGACTGTCCTCTTTTGTGTTTCGGTTTGTGTCTTCTCCAATTGCCAAAACTTGGAATCTAGGGAAGGGAAAGGAAAACACTGAAACAAAAGTAACATTCTGTGATTTTATATCAACTGTGAAACCCAGAGGCTGACAAGTGCAACTGCTAATAACTGTTCAAACAGCGCAGAGGAAGGATCTGCTCCAGCAGCCCTCAGCACAAGTGTCAAAAGAACTTTCCAGATCAATCTCCCTCACTCCACTAAGCACTCTGCTGACAAGGAGATAAAACACATTGACAGGAGACAGTACAGAACTGTATGGATTTGCTATTCTATTGAGGTTTTGGACTTCCAGTTACCATCGGCAGCACTGTTGCTGTAATGTACAGCTCTTCCCAATGTAAGAAAATTTACAAAGGTGCTGAATTCGTTATCATAAAATGGTTTGAGACCCAAATTTTCACACTCCTCTCCATGTGTTATTCATCACAAAAAGCTTGGTGATCTGTGGCTGGAGAATGCTATATGAGGCTGAGTACTCTTCTGTATCAACAGTTTTAGCAGCACTGAGATGATTTAGCTGAGCAACCAGTTACAAATTGTGATATAAAATGGGGCCAGTTAATCTGGAAAATGGTAAGGAGAAGTCTTCTGTTGCATTAAAATATCACACCTGAGTACCAACATGTCTAATAGCAAAGTTGAGGATTCGACAATTTATGAAAATCTGACATTGTGAATTTCTGGTTTACAAAAAGTCTTATTTAGCAAAATGGGAATGGTTTAAAATAAGCAAGCTTGTGCGAATAACTGAAAACTAGTTACATGTATTTAGGAAGCATGTATTTGAGAGAAATGTTGCTTGTGGTATTTACCAAAACTTTGAGTACAGGTACAAGTAACAGGGTGTAAAGCATGCATAGCAGAGAAGAGGTCTACTCTGAATTGCCCTCCCCCCTCAGTGTCTCAGCCCACGTGCAGAGTCAAAAGCGTCATAACTAAAATACCTGGAAAAGAGTTCCTGCAAAGTATCAGGAATCTCAAGTTTGGGATTCCCCAGGGTTGAACTGAATTTCTCTTTCAGTCTTTCCACAAACTCTTTAAACTCCTTTGCACAAACCTTTGAAAACGAGAGACAGAAACGTTGTCGACCTCAGTTTCTTAGAGTGGGAAAAGACCCTCTACTTTTAAAGTGTTCATGGAAGATTCCAGGAGGAATAGCTGGTTTTGAATTGTCAAGTCAGAAACAGTACAACAGACGAGAGAATGCATCAGAAAAGCTCTGTGGAGGTCCTGTTTGCCAATTTACTTAACAGTTGCAGGTTCTGTCTGTAATCAAGCTCACAGCTACAAGCATCCCACCATGAACATATTAAAAACAATTACACTGAATTAACAGCATAAGAGCTCTTGCCAGAGCTTTGTTTAAGCTTCTGCTTAAGTATTTTTTTCCTCTTCATACCCTTCAGGCTTTATTGTGCTCTCCACTAAGTCTGTTTATACAATCATGGCTTGGAGGACACCTGGTACACATGAGGAACAATCCTCTCTCTCTCTGGAAACAAGATACTATTTGCTTCCAAAGACAGACTTCAGGGATGGGGACACATGCATTTATTTCAGCAGTGTCTCACCAGTGAACAACTATTCTTCATTTAAACAAAAAAGAATCTAACAATAGAACCAGTTGGGATTCTCTGACAAGAATATGAACTATTATTCCTGGATAAACCCAAAGAAAATCTTGCGGTCACATTGTCCCAGCTGTCAAAAAGTTTTGAAATTCAAAACGGAATCGTTTGCACTGAAAGTGTGAACAACTTTTCAATTTGAAATTCTGGTTGATTTAAGCCATAAAAAGCTTAAAAATTAAACAAAATATTTTGACTGATCACATCAAGGCTTCTCTCATGAAATTTGCTTACATTCCTGCACTCGTCCACAGAAGCTAAGGCAATATTTCTACATGCAACCAGAATAAAAAATAAGAAATTACAGAGCAAAAATGTTTTCTTGCTCAGATAACATGGAGGCTGAAAGGATGATTAAAAAAACCAAAACCCAACAAAGATCTGTGCATACAGATGTTCAGTCATGGATATTTATAAAAAAGCACATTGAAAAAACAAAATTTTTGTTGCACAGCACTGCTGTTTATGTGCCTTTGGAAGGCTGCCTGTGTCCACTTTACTCTCAAAATAACAATGATGCTGCATTTTTACAATGATGCTATTTTTAACCCAGCTAAGGGTACAAGGGAGAGATAAGATATGAAATCACAGTAATCAAAACAGTGCAAGTACTCAGTAATCCAAACAGTGAAAAGCACTCTATGACCTTTAGAATATTTTCCTCCTACCTGTGGATCTTCATAATTATTTTCTCTATTCATGAAATCTTCAATGAGGGCTTTATCCTGGTAAACCTCAGCAAGGCAAACTCTGCAACAGATACAATTGAAGGTGTTGGACACAGTTAAAATTTTCCCAATTCAGTACAGATTTGATAGCACTAGGGTGCAAAAAAGTTTAAATTTATATTCGCATGAAATAAGACAAAAACACAGAAGGAGCATATCCCTTCACTTCATGTCTGGAGAACTTAGCCTATACCTAAAACACAGACAGAATTTCTTACTTGTAATTAAGATAGGTCTGTGGATTTCTGACAATGTAACGAGCTCTTCGTCCAACGGAATGAGAGGTTTTATCAAGGGACTCCTCAAAGCTGGCATGCATGATATCCCGAACTACTTGCCATGGAACAAAGGGCCCTTTTACCTGTGTGAAGAACAAAAGTGTTCAGAGTTAAACTTCAGCTTTTACGTACACAAATGATGGTTAGAACCAGGATGAATTCCCAGGGCTAAGGAAATCCGTGTTCAGTACATAGAGCCCTTTGAACAGAGGTCCTACTAAATACCTTCGCATTCAGCACGTGACTAGCAATTCGGCACAGCATGAGCAGACTGTCTTCTTGCACTGTCCAGGTGACACGCAGACGTGTCATTCTCTGCAGGGCACTCTGGTCAGCTTCATCATGGTAGCGGAGTCTTTTGCTTTTTTCTACAGAATCCTCTTCTAACAAATACAGAAAAAAACCCCAAAACCCAGTTAGTTATGTCAGCACTGCGTATTCTGATTAATTCAAACTCCTGTCACAGGCAGTATCAGCACCAACTGGAGTTCATAAGAATAAAAGACAAAAGCAGAGAAGGAAGTAGCAGTTGAGAAAGTAAAATAGGTTAATACCTCTCCCAGGAAAGAGAAAACAAGCACTTTAGTTACCAAGCTGATGACCTAGAGCATCATGCCATGAAGAATCTTAAAGTTTCTTTATCTTTAGGCAGCTATCAAGAGTTGATGGTGAATTGCAAGGAGTTAATCTGGCGCAGACATGATTAGCATTTCTTCAGTTTGCACAGTACAGTAGTGCAATCACGATTCACACACAGGTAACAGTCACAGCACGCTGTTGTTTTTCTCCAGAGCTAGTACACAGCCCCAGGACATCCAAACCTCTTCACTGGAAGAGGCAACACAAATGAGATTGCCAGTAAGTTTCCATTTCCCATGCTACATGACAGTCACATCAGCTTTTCTAAAGCAACTAACAGCAGGCACGTGCAGTAAAAAGAATGCTTTTTTCCAGTGTGTTAGTTTTTTACCTTTCTTTTTCTTCTTCGTCTTCTTTCCAGTGTCTTTCCTAAGCCTCTTCCTCTTTTGGTTTTTTCCACCTCTCACTCGTTTGGTTCGATCCTGGGTTGGTTCTTTATTTATTTCAATATATTCCTCTTTGTGGACAAGTGACTCAGATCCTAACTTTCCTTCTCCCAAAATATCAATTTTATTACCTAAAATGACACATATTTACATAACGGAGCTTTATAGGAATTACATTCTACAATATTAAGGTATAGAGAGCAAATGCCAACGTTTCAGCAGATGCCCTCTCAGTCTTGCCCTTTGTTAGTCATGTCATTTCATGCCACTTCTCAGCAGTTCACACAGAATTAAATCCCACATAAATGAGGAATCATCAAGTAATTACTAAATCTAGCGTGCAGTGCACAAGCACAAGGGAACGGAGTGGAGGTTTTATATTCAACCTGAAGTGTTTCCTCCTCCTTAGCTTAAATGTTAGGCTATGCAGTTTTAACAGCACCTAGTTGTACAAAACATTGGTCCCTCTAGACTTCCTGGAAACTGCACATCAGAAATTACAAAGGATAAAAATTATTGTTCTATAGGAAAGAAAATTATTTACACATCTATTTTACTGCCCCAGAAGCATCCTAGATCATTGTAAGGAGACGGGAACAACCATGTCATCAATACTGGATAAAAAAATTGTTCCATATATCCAGAAATAGGGAAGGAAAATATGAATCTATTTTACTGCCCCAGAGGCATCCTAGATTACTGTAAGGAGAGAGGAATAACCCACATCATCTATACTGGGTTTGACAAAGACAGTAACCGCTCTAATCCAGTTATAGACCCCACCGCCAGCATCGCCACCTTACCTCCAGTACTGAGTGGAAGGGGGTGTTTTGTTAAGAAGGTTTGGAGTCTCACCATCAGTCCGTTCTCAGAAACTGTACTTTCCTAAGACAACACAGCTTTCAAAAAGGTGATATGCAAAAGGAGGGCACTGGTTTTAACATCACTATACATTAAATCCTTTGAGCAGTGTCAGAAATAGATGTTCAGTACAAAGGAAAAGAGCCCTGGCTACAACGAAGAATTCATTCGCCTTATTACTACCACGTATTTGAATGGCTCTAGAGCTTTTCTTAAATCATGCTGTAATACCCACTCGATTATGAAGGTTAGAACTTCAGTAAATCTCAAGTTTAAAAGAAGCCATCACTGGAAAAGAAATGCTCGATTCTTTCACTGCTACAGAGGCTGAGCAGAGTTTTCTGTAAACCAGTATTTTTTCAAAGCATTTTACATTCCAAAGGAACTTCTAAAAAGCACAAAACGAAACTGCAAACACAAACATTGAATAAATGCCTCCTACACCATATTCCAGCCATTTTAAATCTCAGCCCAAGCTGATTGCAATGTATTGGGAGTTTTGCCATTCTCGGCAAACCCCATTTCTCTTGCATGGAGTTCATTGGTGATAGAATTTGGTCAGAGATGTGGAGAGGAAAGCCAAGACAGAAAAATTGCAGGAGGTCCTGTTAATGCTGAACAACTAGGTGACAGAACAGCAGATGAAATTCAGAATGAAAGGATCCTGCCTGAGGTCAAAACCAGGCAACTCTGATTTGACATATACACTGATAGGCTCTAATTTGACCACTGCTTAAGGTAGGGTAATTTTCAGTTCTGTGAAAGTACCTGTTCAATGCTTGGTAAGGGTCAAAAAGCAAAGCAAATGCAAGGAATTCTTGGGAAAGGAGAGCAATGCTATGCAGCTGTGTTGGCCCCAGCCCGAATGCACTATGTGATTGTATTTTAACCTTAAAAAGGATATAACAGAACTAGAACAGGTAAAAAGAAAGGCAACAAGAATGATTACAGGCAGAACTGGTTCCCTGCTGGGAACAGTTAAGTAATCTAGTAGATGCCAGTCTTTAAAAAGAGATGATAATGGCCAGTCATTAAAGAGAGATGATAATGGGAAACATGAGACATGTTTACAAAATCAAGTGAAACAGGGTAACGGAGAATGATATTTTTCATGGCTTCCCTTAGTACCACAATTATTAGGGAGCTTAAACCATCAAAAGGAAGTGATGACACATAATAGGACTTCGAAACATTTTGCTATGTGAAGCTGTGGATACTAAAGGATTTACATGTGTCCAAAAAAATAATTAGAGAAATTAATGCTAAAAGAAAAAGCTATTAACAGCTTTGAAACATCCCCCCAGGTTTAGAATGGCCTTAAGCCAAACTTGCAGACAGCTGGGAGAATATTCTGAGGAAATATCACTACACATCTCCCTTGCTCTTAACAACCTTCCCTACAAATCTTTTATTAGCAACCATCAGAGACAGGAGTCTAGGCAGAACCAGGACAGCCATTCTTATTTGCCTATGTTGGGATTCCTAGTAATTTTTTTTTTTTTTTTGCTCTATGTATTTCCTTGTTCTGGATGTTTCAGTTTTCATCTGACAACTTCTACATTTCAGAAAGGCAAGAGGCACCACTACAATGCTAGCTTAATAAAGGATTTCTCCTTTGGTTGCATGTATTATCAAATTCAGTTCAGACAAAATTTACATCCGATTCTGTCATTCACTTCTGCACCAACGCTTACCACATTTGCCACCCATTTCTTTCCAGTGATGCAAAGCCTTACTGAGACACAAGACTGAGAAAGCATGCAAGCAGTAAGATTTTGCTATCAGTATTGCAACCTTAAGAATATTAAAATTTGGAAAAATCATTACAGGATATAAATTTTAAAATACCCACCTTCCTAGTCTTATTGATGATGTAGCTTGTCCAGATCCAGTTGCGTTTTAGGTGCCCGTAAAAGCTGGAATCCAGACCTGCAGCTCCTAACCCATCTCCGGGGATAGTTCCATCATCAACCACCTCTCGGCTGCCTCTGAGAGAAAGAGTAACAAAATCTACAGTAATTATTGTGTAGGGAGTGCAGCTGCTCTTAAGTGATGTCCGTGCAATGTGCAGAACTCTCCCCTTGCCCTCCCAATTTAGGTAAGACTGGGAAAGAAGAGGAGAAAGAGAGATGCTCCTTCCCTTAACCTTGTTCCAGAAGTAGCGTGACAACGATGCTTTTCCATTAAGTTTTAATTGCTGATATTTAATGACTGAGCTTTCAGTTTAAAGATTACACCCACACCAACTTTATTATTGTTAACTAAGTTCCAATGGCCATGTGAAACTCTGTTCTCAGCACTATTCCTGCCACAGAACTAGAGAAAATACCTGCTCAGATGAAAAACTTTATCAGGACAAGTGTGGGGAAAATCTTCCACAGGAACTAAAGGCAATCATAACCCTTCTTCACACTGACCATCAAGCACTGACCGTCTCCAGTTTTCTCAAAAGCACATTAAAGCTTGTTTAAAGACACATACAAGCCAGAAAAACAATGTGCTGCAATTCTCTCCCTGGAAAGAGGATGACACTAACAATGAATAGCATGTGATGGTACCCTTAACGAATGAGCTGTTCAATTACTAGTGTGGTGTTAACAGTACAGAATGAAAAAAAAAAAAAAAAAGATATTTTCTTCATTATAAATACCACATTTTGCAAGAAATCATGTAGACAAACTTACTTCCTCAAAAAAAAAAATCAAACTATAAATGCGCTTTGCGTATGCAGTAGGTACGACAGCTCTGACAACCCAGTAATAACACCAAAGAGTATTTCTGAAATCCTGTTTCGCCTTATGAAACATTTTTTGAAAGCTACCATGAAAAAATCATTTCAGTCAAGCCTTCAATAGACAACTCTTTCATTATAACATTACACCATCAATTAAATCCAAGAACTGTTTCTTGACCTTAAGGATGTTGCAGTCATCTCCAGCCTAACTGCAAGTAAACCCTAGATATCCCATTTAAAAGATTTCTTAGCATACAATGGAGACCATATGCAAAAGCTGACAAGTGGACTGAACAGATTTTTTTTTTCTATCAGCAAGGATCAGTGGAATTAGGTTCCCTCAACTCCATTAATTTTTTTAGGATAACTTGATATATCTACCTGCACCACTGAACTAACTGAAAATACTTTAAACAGATGGTTTAGTAAAACATAATAGAATATTGCCAAAGCTAAACCACAGTGCACAACACAATATAAAAAGCCTAACTGGCATTTTGTCACAGACTGTATCTGTAAGCATACAATCCTCTCAGGTATTCTGCGATGAGGCAGAAGATGAAGTGCTCCAGAGATCACTTCCTGATTTCACCAGTGTACACCAATGCCATATGAAAAATTAATTTGTAAACAATGTGCAGCAAAGTGCAACACAGGAGGACAGAACTCGGAATGTGACACCGGGGAGCTACTGAAGCTACTTGAGATAAATACACGTCTTTTTAATCAGATAGCCTCTGAATTACTAAGAGAAACCCCACACCACCCAACTGAAATGCCAGAGTCTTAACTGCTTTTGCTATTGAGTAACATCCCCAAAAGCCAGAACAGTTCTTTTTGCCCACTCTATTCAAGCGGCAAAGCAAGGATGAAGATGACGTACGTGGTATATTCCAGCATCGCACACTTTCGTTCCAGATTGTGTTTATTCACTGCTGACTCTTGTTCCATTTCTACATCTAGTGCAGTCTCCTCCCCTTGAAGATTACTTCTCTTTGAACGAGGACAGCGGACAACTCCTAGACGTACAAATGGTTTTGATTATCAGCATGAAAAGCAAGACTTCAACCCATTTTCAGTTCACCCTGCTATGGCAAACTACTGTTCCCAACCAGTGCTAACATTTCTACTGCTTCTCAATAAAACACGCTACCTTCTCACAGAGGCTAATGGTGTTCCAATTAATTACCAGTAGAAGGCACTAACTTGTCCAAAACTGTATTCAGGGCAGAAGTAATGGGAGGCTGGAACCCTTTATAAGGAAAAAAATTCAGCAGTTCACTGATATTCTAGGTTTGAAATGCAGCCTTTCAGATACTCAAATGTGGCAACAGTCCTCAAAGAAACGATGCGGCAGGTCGCGACGGCTGAAACACAGTGCGAATGTTTTGCGTGACTGACACCTTCACGTTGGAGATACATTTAGGATATAGCAGAGGAGTCACATGATAGCTTTATAGTAACAGAACTCAGAGGTAGGAAAAAACCTCAATTTCTGGCCTACTATCGCTTTTTGGCTGCCCATGCTACAAAGACAATAGGGCAGGACTAGATCTCAGGCAGGTATCTGATCTAGAGCTGCAATATAAATTGAAATTCAGCACAGAGCAATTTTGCCCTCAAGGCTCAATGTGGAAAATAATTAATTGGAATACTACAAAGCTTCCATAAATATGCAAACTGGTGAAACAACATCATTCCCGTATTTTGGGGGCTAAGGCTAACCATGGTCCTACTAGCCTGCAAAAGCTGCAACAATCACAGACACGCTACCATTTGACAAGTGTGTAAGGAACCTTTCACACATAACTGCTTCAATGCAAAAGTAAGACAAAATTACAAATAGATCCTTTTACCTGGCTGACTAAATTACAGAAATACAGAATAGTGTTGTCTAAGGTATCAGGAGAAATCTCTTGCCTCCAATTTATTTTTTTTTTTTTTATAATGTATATAATGTACCTGTATATCCTATTAAAAAATGTAAAAGGATGAAACAAACAAAAAAAAAACCCTAAAAAAAAAATATGAGGTGCATAAACACCCTTAACTTCCACTTTTCATCTAACTCAAGCTATTGGTCAGAATGTTTAGCAACATTTTTCTAAGGAAAAGGGATCTCTGTTTAAACTGGTAGAGAGCTGTGGCAAAAATACTACAGTAACTATTTTCAGAAAGGCTTTTTCATAGCTGGATTAAAATCTTAAAGGGCTATTACCAAATGTGATACTTCTAGTACGACAGCAATTTTTTCCTTTAACACCGCTCTCAAAATGTCCAACTTCATAGAATTATATGGACAGAAATGCCAGCTTTTTTTGATGCATGAGGTGACCAGACAAGAGAACAAAACATTGGAAGTGCCAAAACAGAGCCTGCCTCAAGTTTTAGGAAAGGAGGAGGAATTGCGGTGTAAGAACGTGCAGTTATACCATACCCAGTGGGGTGTTAAGGCAGACACACTGCAGATCAAACCAGAAGTTTTCCACATCCTGCATGGTGTTCAGAACATAGAGGCGTCTCTCAAATGGGCGGCTACTTTGAGCCAGGTTATAGTGGGGGTCACAGATAGTGGTATCGACAATCACAGCGTTTCTCTTCATATACACAAAGACCTGCCAAATACAGTATATTTCAGGCTGGTAGGTAAAAATCCTTGAAACTGCCTAATTTACAGGAGACACAACTTAATCCCGTTTGGGACTGCTTAGCATTTCCTTGGTCTTTTGCTGTTTTGAGCCAGTACTCTGACAGAAGGCACACCCATCCCCACCCTGCTGCATTGTATTCCCAAACTTCCCTTGCCAGAGATCCAGAAATTTCCGTCCTAGATTTAGAACAGTTTCTTTTCCCCCTTGTGCACAGGATATTCCAAGTTTCCACAGAGAGTGACTATTTCCTACGAGCTCTCATTCAGGATTTGAATAGATGTGTTTTGGGGCCTAATTATCTTATCCTTATGAAGTATACGTTGGGACTGCTTTCTCCTTTGCATGTGCTCCCTGTTGATAAGAAGATGGGTACAAATGTAATCATCTTACTCTGTTCAGTGACTTTATTCTGTGCCAGACATCCAATGTCTAACACCTTGATGGAAAAGAATGTGGCGTGCTCATTTTTCATAAAGTGCTGCCAGTCTGCAACCTCCCAGATCATTAGCGTGTGCAACATTCAGCATTATACATTTGAGTACTGTCTTTGCAGAAAAAGAGGTAAAAATTATCTGCACCACTTGCAATAGGTCACTTGGATCTGGAGGCTTGCATAAACATCCGAAACATCAGTATTTTACTTAATTACAACCCCCAAATCTTGCATTTATTTCACTGGGCAAGGACGTGAAGAATAATGGCTAAATTTTAAAAAATTACCTGATCTTTGTCTTGAAATTTCTCTGTTGGGCCAAACTGTATCAGTCCCATATAACATAATCTTTGAAGGTTTTCTACCACCGAAAAGATGTACCTCCTGCAGCAGTATTAGGATTACATTTAGCATTCATGAAAACAGTAAAAATAGATCAGAAAACATGTCATTTTCATGCAGCAACCTGAAGTTTCAGGAAACCACTGCTTTTTTGAAATACTGAATTTCAGAATTTCTGAAGTTGTATTTTTGTTTGAATTGTCAGCCTATGGAAAACAAATAATTACCCTAAAGCTCCAAATTTCCTTTCCTCAAATCACAAACACAATATTTTAGCCAAATACCAACTCAAATTTTTCTAGCAGAGAACTAAATCAACCAGAAATACCATGTGTAAAAATTAATTAAACAAGGTCAGAACACCAGCAGATCTGCAGACGATTTCATGTTAGGAAGAGATGAATGAGAAAGCATGACTGCTAAACACGGGCTGCCAAGCCTTCACGTGTGCACATAGGAAGAACTGGGCACCAATCCTTGTAGTTAAGGCTGTTTAGAATTACTGCTCCAAGACGCTGCTTTCAGCTGCTTATAGCTTTGGCAGAGCAAAATGTGCAACATTTCCCATGCTGTATACCTACTTATATGGCAAAATTCTGGAAGTTGCAGGGAACTTTTGCAAGACCTACTTTCTGAGAGAGAGTTTGTCAAAAATTAGCTTTGCCCATATTTAACTTCACTAAGATCTAAGTTTTTCTCTGCAGTTAAATGGGAATTGTATTCTGGCAGGAGTTTTCTCAGAGTCTTCTAGGGCTCTGAAAGGTCCTTTGAGCAGGCCAGAAATATTGAAGCAAATTTGGACAAGTTAGAAGTTTTAGTGAATGGGGGGCAAAGAGACAACATGGTTACATGCAGACTGTTTTGCTTAAATCTATCAGATAGAGCCTGCAGATATCAGAAAATACCACAAATCCAGTTTCCTTGGTACTAAGATTTAGCAAGTAATAGGTTAGGAATTGCAAACTGGAGCTGACCAGGAGCCTTGCCAGCTGACACTGTCGAGCACTATTCACTCACCAATGACACGTTTGCAGGTTTGCAAAATGTTGTATAAAGCCTCCAGCCATCCAAATCCATGCCCTTAGCAATGACTTTCTGGGGAAACTAACATGGTGATATTGATTCCACATATTCAAGTCACTTTCCTTCAATGTTGCTTTCCCTTCCTACCTTCAGTCCAATCTCAATTTTTAAACCTCACAGATGGGGAACGGCAAACAGTGGCAGACATGCCACTGAGAGCACAGGTAGGAATTGAATGGTATGTATGAGGCAGGAACTAGGAAATGTGGCATCTTCGGAAAGATTGATGAAGGACAGCAACATTTACTCTATTAAATTCTGAATTTAGCAGCAGTCAGGAGCGTGTTTTATACGGAAGTAACACCCTGCTGATGAGTTATGAAGGACAAAACCTCCCAGCTCTCAAATGCTGCCTGACAGCATGCATGAATATTGTTTATTAGTTTCTTATTACCTTCTATTTGGGAGAGAAAAATACAATTTGGCACGCTATCCTTAGAAGATTGATGATCCCTGTCTGAAGTAACAAAGTTGTCTTTGACACAAACAGGAAATAACTGAGAAAAGAGTCAACCGCTGTTGTTTCCTCCCTAGAGCCATTTACTTCGACTCATCTGCTTACCTTTTGTAGAGGAGCTGCTGTCGGACTGACCTTGGAAGAAATCTGATCAGAGTGTGCTTTTTTAGTGGATCATTTAAAAAATCTTCCAGACCATCCACCTAGAATTATTGTAGAAGTTAATCAAAATGCAAAATATAACTATCCTTTAAAGTATCAACCTTTGCTACCAGAACTGTCTACTGAAATATTTTCTAAGCAAATGTTACTGCTTTTGTAAAATGCTTAAACATTATTCTTGTTAATCAATGAGGCAGAAGATTCAGTGAGATTATAAAAAGCTCTTTGCAAAATACTGGCTTAAAAATTTGCAGTATTACAGGGCTATACATTTTTTTCAGTGTGGCTGTAAAAGCAATTAACTTTTCTGTAAAAGACTATCAAGAACTGAAGTGTCTACTCTCTGATGGCTAGTTTTGTTAAAACAGGCTAAGAGGACATTTGTTGCTCTTTATAGGAACAGTTGGTATCATCAGACTTTAAAGTAAAACAAACGTGAAACAAAAAAGCACTCTACCTTGTAGCTGACTTGTACTATCTGAACAAAGAGCGAGAGAGGCAAGCAGAGAAGAATGTCGCTAACAAGAGCCCATCCAAATCCAAACTCTCGGTGAACTGGCAGAGGAGGGACATAGCGCATCCACGAGACATCATCCACATACACTAGGAACAAGAAACTGGCTTAGATTCAGACAGGACAAACCTAACCGGAATATTAATAGTTTTACTGTGAGTGTTCAAGCAGAACACATCGGCAGTTCATAGTCTGGAAATCTGAAATGACCTGAAAATTATCCAAACCATTGATTTGCCATCTTTTTTGAAGTAGACTTTTACCTTTTTTTTCAGCGTTGAACCATGGCAAAGCCTGTAGGAAAGTCAGGCTGTGCCGCTTCTTACCTGTTTGATTAGACAAGTCTACTTCAGTCTCCTGTGCAGAACCTTCAGGATTCACCACAGTTGCCATAATTTCTAATGTCCCATCTGGTTGCGCTTCAACTACAGCTGCCTCCACATCCAGCTCTTGTTTGCTGCCTTTTTTCTCACCATCTCCTTTTTGCTGTCTTCCCTTTAAAGGGTGGCCATAAATTAAGTACCAGAGGAACATGTGGACCATTCTTAAACGGGGCATTTTGGGAAGAAAACCAAGAGAACGTCCAAGTCCTGGAACTGGGAAGGAAGATTAAGTAACAAACAGAAGTAAGAAGAGGATTAGAACAGGAGAAATAGCGACCTCTGCAACTGAGGTGAAGAAAATTGCAAGGGAAGATGGGCAGTTGAAAGTAAATATTAGTAAAGAAGTAGCAATCAATACAAATACTGCAGTTTGCGATTGTAAGCTAAGAAAACATTGGACAGTGAGATTGCTTTAACACAAACCCAACTTTTCTTCTATCAAAGAAGAAAAAACCCACTTGTATCTTAGGAGAGCCCAACAGCTGAAAGAGATTATTAATAATAATAAATGGGAAGGTGAAAGATGGGAAAGTGAAAGATGACAGGAAAAGCAAAGTTAGCTGTACCTGTAACAGGGTGATAGTTTTTTAGCTGCGTTATGCCCATTTTTTCATCAGTTTTTCTTGCCCGACTATTATTATCAGCTTTACATGAGCCTCCTTGCGTTTCTCCTGAATCAGGAACTGCCTCTTGCCCCCAGTTTTCTTCTTCAGCATGGTCCTGGGATGTTGGTGTCTGGGGAACTTTAATCCTGTATTAAAACCACACAGCACTTCAGTAAAAATTAAGCAGAGTTCAATTCCTCTTCTTTCCTGATGTCAGGAGATACTCAGCACCTTGCTTCATCTTTGTGCTCCCATTTCTCTACTGCTAAAGAAGAGAATTTTCTTTTCTTTTGCTTACTTCGTGTTTATTTCCCCTGCATATTTTTTGCACATGCTAGATAAGCCAAGTTCCCCACAAGCCATCCACACCATCATTGCAACTTGCCTGCTTGCCGTGCTTGAGTTGGAGATTCGGAAGCGCACTTGCTCAATGGCGCTTTTTACAAGGGGATCATTGGGACTCACTGAAGGATGCACAACAAATTCTACCTGTTCAGAGCAGCAGAAAACAAACAAAAGGTATTTATGGAGATATCGGCTTTTAATTATCTGCATAAATTATCAGAGATCAAGAGACAATTAACTGTAGCCACAATGGGTGAATCCTATGAAGGTTTAATAATTCACAGAATACGAACACTTTTAGATCAAAAATCTCACTGCTAGTTTGTATTAAGAGGCCAAACCATATGGTTTCTGTATGAATAAACAGTTAATTTAATTTCGACAAACCTCAGGGGTTTTGGGTTTTAAAATCTGAAATACTTGGGGAACAAACACTTTAGCTTGCAAATAGTAGGTTGAAAGGGATAAATGAAAAGCCGTACCTCATAAGATCGAACTACTACATACCTTTGCTGAAAGTACACACACAATTCAGATTAGTAAGATTTCATATGTGCTCTACAGTAATTGGGAAGCAGGGAATTTTCCATAGATTCTCTCCCTGCTTGTGAACGTTTCACACTCAAGTTACGATGACAAGTCCCAGCTTTAGCACTACAGACATTTTACTTCCATAAACCTCAATGACAGGGGATTTTTGTTTTTAAAAAAATAGATCACATTCTTTAAATTTCAACTCGGAAGCTAACTTAGAATTTCACATATACTCTCGGCTTTCAAAAGGGGATTAAGTAGAATTGTGTTGCAGCCTGACAGTGCAGGGAGAGAACCAGGAATTGTGTAACTGATAAGCAGCAGAACCTCTCAGAAGAGAGATTCAGAGACTTTGATCTCTGGGCTGTTCCTTGGTCTCACAATTATCTGTGGCACAGTAATTGAAAGCACTAATCTGGTTTTCACAGTAGCTTAGTTTGGGACACGTAGCTTCTGGGCAGCTTGACTGCGTGTTCTGCTATAAAATGGAAAGTCATCCATATACTTCAGTAAAAAGGCCCAAAACATTGTCACAGATCAGGAGGTTGTGAGAAAAGCTGTTTCTGCTGCCAGGGTTCGTGCAGTCACCTTTTTACTAATGCCATCTTGAATGACTGTAGTACGGTAGAGTCTGAGGAGTCCTTCTCGCGCAAGCTTCTGTACCAGTCGGACGATAGACTTTTTGCAGCATTTAGTGGAGACACCTTCTTGCTTCTCTTGATCCATGACCATTTTCTGAAGCCTAAAAGATGCAAAAAATATCTTGCATTTTACGCCCAGCATGCTCCAAACTGCCTAAGCAGTTTGTTAGAGGATGTGAAGTGAACGGGTATTCCCCTACTCCTAGCAATTCCTGCTCACTTTTCCATTTTGCTGTAGATAACTGGTAACTTAGCTTTAAATTTCAGCTTTATTTGCTTTGCAGTCACACTTACCCTTTTTAGGAGGACTGCTGTTCTGATGGCAGCAAACTGTCAACGCCAGATTTCTCTGCATATGGCTATAGTGCAATTGTGAACGCAGCCTTCCTAAGGTCAGGAAAACCTACAGCTTTTTTAAGTGGTGATTACACATTTGCAGTTTGTATGTCCACTTGTGAGCTCAGTTCAGCTTGGGGCAGAAAGAGTTTACAGAGTGGTGTTCAGAGCTGTGAATCTGAATGTATAAAGTGAATGTATACATGGACTTTAGCTTTTGAAAAAGAATATCCTGGTAACTAACGTAGTTGGAGTGACGAGACCAGCAAATTTCCTTGGCAGAGACTGGGGAGGGGCAGAACTTTCACCAGTGCTGGAGGAACCAGTAAGCTACTGAAGGGGACAGCTGAGACTTGAAATATCTTCTGAGCCTGCACTTGGATGTGACTAGATCGATCAGTGATGAAGCTGGTGCTGGAAGACAGGGCTCTAGTTTCACAACGCTCTGCGATTGAACTAGGTGACAGAAGGTTTCAAAATTCTCAAACCAGAGGAGAATAAGGCCATGATTTCTTACTAAATTCCCGTATCAAGCAGCCCTGCATGTATTTTCATGCCAGGATCTTATGTGCTAACACAGAAGACTGATTGTGCCATAACAGAGCCCTGCTAATTTGGAAGCTAGGACTCCAGGAGAGGACCAGAATTTCCATTTCTCTATGAAGGTGAATCTTACAAGGCTGAAAGATGTTGTAACATTCAGGGAAGTATCTTTGGTACAGGCAAGGCAAGTCATGAGGTGACATAAAACCATCCCACATAAAGTTGCAAAGAAAGTAAGCTTTCAGCACCCCGCTAGAATGCTAGCGAGCAGTGATGACCAACATGAAGATAAGAGTCTCCACAACGAATGGCAGAATAGCAGGGGAACTGTTTTTGAAACCATACAGAAATAAAACTTAGGCAGATGAAAGAATCCTCAAGCAAGGAAGTGCTATATTTTACTGGCACACTGTGAAAGGAAGAAAAAGAGGTCTCTAATCTCTGTTTATGGGACATCACCGCATAAAAATTCACTTGTATAATTATCTGTACAGAACTATTATTGCTTCCGAACGGCTGATTCATTTTTAAGATCCAGTATAACTGCAACCCCTCCCCTGTCCATGTGCTGACATTATAGCATACAGTGCCATCAGGGACAAGGAAAGCCACCAGTGGAATAAGCTAAAGAGGCACTTGCTCTACCAAAATGCATCAGGCCCGCCCCCCACCCCATTTTCAGACAGACTCACGTAAACAAGCTTTCAATTAGCCGGAGGTTTCGAACAGCTTCCACAATGAGATTTCGGCGCTTCAGCAGCCTGTACGTTTCGTGAGATCTCTCCACTGCTGTAGCTTTGGAACGCTTCTCCTTCTTTTGGCCACAGGTCTTCTAGTGCACAGTATGGACAAAATAAAAACCTTACATGAACTATTCAATGACTTCAGCCTAACGCTGGTTCCTCACACAGTAGCAGCTGAGGAATTCAGAGTTTTGTTGTATTTATTTGTAATGAGCTACTCAGAAGAGGATTATCTTTTATATCCTCTTCACAGGGAGGGAACCAAGGCAGAAACCATGATTTCCATGCAGGTAGATGCAGAGATTTATGATGTTCTCTGCCCATCCCATGTTCTGAGCCATTTGGACTTGAGAGTTTTGGCCTAGAAAGCTGGTAACTGCCTTAACATCATGCTGAGTCCAAGCCAACTTATCCTGTCTCTCAGAAAGGATTCGTGTCCCATGCTCAGTCCTGCAGCAGTGAGGCTACACAGCTTTCATGTCAAAACCCATTTGTTCCTCCTGGTTTAGAGCAGACAGGCCAAATGATACTCAGCACTTGTTTGCACAGACAGACATTAAGTAATGACACGCATTAAGTCAATACAAAGAAATTGGAGAGCACCAGGGAACTAACCCAGAACTGTATTTTGGACATCTACCTCCCTATCTCCTAGAATAATTTTCAATGCAGCCAAAATATCAATGTACTTTGAAATTAAATTTAAAAACTCAAAACAATCTCATAATGGATACAAAAACAATAGCTTGAAGCTTTGCTGTAAAAATACGTAACTTAGCTCAGACAGCCATACCAACAAGAAAATACTAAGACATGTGATCTTACCTTAGGGTCTTCGAGTCTGACCTCCTCAACCACAGCCACATCCCCATCTTCATCAGTGGCATGAGCACAGGTGGAAAGATTGGGCTCCTGCTTTAGAGTTTCCAAAGCAGAACTCTCCCCCAAAACGCTGTCTGGGAGCTCTTCGGGCTCTTCAAGAATTTGAGGGGAAGGCAGCTTCTTCCCCTGAGACTTCACAGGTGTTGGCTTTGAGCCTGGTTTAACAGCAAGCAGCCTTGTAATTGTTCTGCTCTCACAGTCTCCTGTAAATGTTCAGCTTCTCTCTCCATAAAAGGCCCTTCCCCATCTACCCAGGTAACTGTTCTTAAAAGCATTCTGCTACATTTTCACATATTCTTCTACCCTGCTGGAAGCAGTGGTTTGATCATGAATGACTGCATTCAGCCTCCAAAAGTGAAGTTTAAAAAAAGCAAACTCCCTGTTGTCAAATAATTCTATCCATGGAGAAGCCATTTCATATGCAGACTTAGAAGACCGTGAAGGGCCAGATTAGTTTATCTAGAAACTGCTGTCTGAAGAAAGGAGAGTTTCTGTCACACAGGTTCTCAAGTTCTGCCAGAAACCTGACTTTCTGACTCAAAGTGGAATGAGAACAAGGATTTAGTATTACTCCAAAGATAACCTACCTAAGAAATGGAGATCTGTTCTCCTCTCCTCCCTTGTAGTTTAGCAGACAAGTTGTGTGAACACTCAAATAGTGAAAATAAAAAAAATAAACCACCATATCCTCTTTTAAATATGTCCCCAAAAGGCTGGTAGCTTTCACATTAAGATGTCCCAAATAACTAAAGAAAAAGATGAAGCAATTAGCTTCAGGAGACAAGACATTTTGGTTACGATATGCTTAGGTGAGTAAGGCTGTGGGTCAAGTCCTCCCAAGCCTATGATTGTGTGAAAGTAGTTAGTTACCATCTTATGTGGTTTCAGACAAGAAGTCAGCATTACTCTATTTAAACTCATCCCCCTTGAAGGTTTGGATCAGTACATGAACAAATACATTTTGCACAGACTCTAAGGCTCAATACCAGACATTTCCAACTGAAAATAACCACCACTAAAAGGGGAAGAATTTTTATATGTTACAATTAAAAAAAAAGTTAACTGGCTGGCCTCTCAGCTCCTGTGCTATTTCCCACACCTAGGGTGACATTTACACACCCAATGGAATGAAATGGTGCGTTTTAATGAGGCACAGCCCTCCTTTTTCTTTTAGTGAGGAAGAAATAAAGTATTTCAAGAAACACAAAGTGTGTTCAAATCCCTTATGAAGTCTTCAAAGACTTTAAAAGCTAAAGTTCTACCATGATGGTGCTCTCTGATGGGCACAGCCTGAGCTGTAAGATATTCTGAAAAACAGAGTCCATGACAGATGCCTTGTCAGTTCATCACGGAACATCCAAGGCAGGTACAAAATTTACCCAAGGATGCTGTTTCTCTCAGCAGCTTGAGCCAACCTGACTGCTGGCTGCTGTGGTCTCCCCATTACGCTCAGTTTTAGCCACAGTCTTGCCCCTTTCCTTGCGACATTTTGGGAATTCATCTGACCCTCTGCAGACTCATTTCAGCTCTTCAAGCCACCAGAAAAATAACTGAATATCCAAGAAGCAAGGCGTGTGAGCCCATTTCCTTTGAAATGGGGAAAGGGGGAAAAATGACACAGGGGTAAGGAGATGCAGACTATCCCAGTGATTGGTGATAGTCAGAAATGTTCTTTGGCGCACGCAAACACCAGAGCACACTTCAGCCCTAAGAATCTCCAGAGACTACCACGCCTACCATATTCCAAAACATAATGCTTTTGGTAGAAAGAGAATATCAAAAAAGCATGGAAATAAGCAAATAAGCGTAAAAATAAATATATGATCAAAATCCTTAAGGGAAGCTAAGGACATAAGATTTTTTTCTTTAATAAAGGACCCATAAGAAAAATGCAAGGTTCTTTCCAAATTTCAGAATCATGACCTACCTTTAGCCGGCGTTGACTGATGGATGTCCTCTTGGAAACTTAATTTCAGGAGAGAACCAGAGTTGGCCTTCTGACCTTTTCCTCTCTTCTTGACATCTTTCCCTTCTTCATTGTCAGACTCTGAGACCAAAGCATCATCTTCTCCAGGAGACACATCTTCCACAGGTGGGGAATCTTCTGGCACAAGAGCCAAAGTAACCGTAGCTAACTGCTCACTCCTAGCCTTCTCTCTCTCAAACTGACGGTTTAAATCACTCTCCTCTGCAAAAATGTATGAAATATACTTTGTTGTCCTTTGCCGACCTTCATCCTCCATAAAACCCTACGGAAAGAGTTGGAACATTATTTTGCCACCTTCCTTCTCCACTCTTGCAGTCTGTTCTCCAGCATCAACCATGGGAAAGTTTCCTAACTGTTCTCTCCTCACATCAAAAGACATCATGTTAGTATCCGTTTCCTTCTAAATAACAAAAATGTTGACTAACCTTAACATACAGAAATCGAAAGAAATACCATGCCTGAAAAATAAATCAATCTGCATTAACTGCATACTAGAATGAAATGCCTACAGTATGCGGGATGTAGAAAAGTCTAAGAACAAAATGTATGTATTGAGACTAGAAATAATGTTTTTTTCAGGAAAATAACTGCCATGTAGAAATTACCAGAGTGAATCAGACTTCAGTAGAACTGCTGATTGGCTACTACAACAGGTGCTTTCAAGTATCTAGAAACTCAAACGCTTAGCCTATCAATAAGGGAAGATTTCATCTTCACAGTTGACTTAGGGAAAAGTATGTTTAGATATTCCAATGGTTTATATAGTTAGTTTGGTTTTAATTCTACAGAACTTTTTACCAAATGACAAGATCTTGGTAAAAAAAAATTCTCTGCTGAGAGAAGATGGCAACTACCCCACCTTTGTGGAAAGGGGCAGGTGGGTGCACGCAAGGAATGACAGCTGACTTTGTTCAGCTTGTGGAAGTGAAAAACAATATTTCAATAACTGGAAATAAGCAGTTTAATCACCAAGACCTCTATTAAAGTAATTTTTTTTCCCAGAATGTACTGGTATTTTCAAAAGTAGACTAATGATTTTACATGTACAGAGGGTCTTGACAAAATCCTACAGTACAGGATCTTGCAAAATAGAAGTTGTCTTACAGTAAAAAATGAAGCAAAGTGCCTATTTTGAGTTGAGAGACATTTACACTCATCTCCATAAGTTACCAGCCCCCAGGTCACCTGGGTTACCACTGATTACAGTGAACAATTTAGGTAAGTGAGTGAGGCCACGTGAAGCAGGGTTGAGGCTCGTTTCTCTGCCTCCTGCCTTTCTGGAGGGCAGACCTGCTTCATGGTGCGGGGAACAGCGTTTCTCCAGAATGCTGTGAAGCGGTGTGGTCAGCAGAATCCCACCTGCTGGTGCGGATCACCAGAACGTGCACTCGACACAGACAGCAAATGTGGGGCCATGTGCATTTTCCCCCACGATCTTTATTACTTAAGCACCCAATCACAAAAAATGTAAAATACTTGTACATCTGGTCCAGCAAACTATTAAGTGTCAAAGGCAGCTCACCAGGAGACAATAAAGAAAAACATATGCTAGAAGAGCAGATATGTTACATTCCAAAAACTAGTCCTAGTCCTCAGATTACAGTAGATTAAAATTTTAACACTTTTTGAACACTTCTTTTGTATACCTTTTCCTCAACTGAAGACATACTCTCTTCAATCTTACCAGGACTCTTTCACTGTCAATTCTCAAATCCCCACCATTTCTATGGCCTGAGGTTAACAGTGTTATGACATACTACCACAGCAACCACAACTGTATGTCCATTTTGAGTAAGTATCCAAATTATTTTATTGTAACCTTACCTTGACAACTTTGTACCTCTCCAGAAGACGACAGAGCATCCTTGCCTCTAGCTTCCCCACATTCATAGCCAAGCGAATTTCTGCCTGAGAAATACCTTTGGTTCCCCTACTTTCAACTGTTTCAGACAGGAAAACCAGAAAATATCTCAGATAAATAATCTGACCAAATTATATATGCATACATTTGTATATACACTCCTATTTGCTCTGATCACCTGTAAATGCCAGAATATAAAATTTAACATTCACCACTAACAGCTAAAGACATTTTCACAGACATACACAATACACAGTCAAATCCTGTCATAAACCACAGTTCTACATGAAGCAGTGCCCCAGCAGAATGAGGTTTGAGGGTGATAGTCTCAGATTAAGAGCAGGGGTGAATTTTACCCAACAGCTTTCCACAGTCAGATACTCATTTCTCCATTATGAAAGGAAAAGAGGTAGGAGAAGAAGGAGGAACAGTATTTCCTCCATCATCTTTTCTCATCCCACCGCAATGGCCTGTTTCTACCATGCTGTCTTATTTTGGTGGTATTCAAGTCAATAAGCTTCCGGGGGCAGGGTAACAGCTGGCAGCACCTATAGCTCCAGTCTAATCTGAACATAAAGCGCATCTTTTCCATGAAAAATTGACACTTTCTGATCCATAAAAAGCAATCAAAACTTAAAAAACCCTACCACAATATATACCTTTATTTTATACATACAAGGAGTAAGAAGGCAATGGGAAAAATCTTTAGTATGCCTTACTACATCACCTACTTAGCTCATAAGCCTGGGTGAGCATATCCCTTTCACAGACAATATCCACAGGCTGAACAGCTTTTGTGATGATCTCTTCTTCGTCATCATCATGATAATCTTCCATTTTCTTCCGAAATTCCTTCAGTAATTTAAGGCAACGGACCATGACATCAGTCCCTGTGAACATGAATGTTAGTAACAACTCTTAACAAAATGCAGGGCGTGTGCGCGTGTTTAAACAATTTTATTCCTATCGGCAGCGCGAGGAAGTAGTAGGGCAATGGGGAACACAACAGACCAAGGACAACTGCTTGCTTCTAGGAACAGTTTGCAACAGCTTTTCCCTATCATGGAATCATTTGGTTGGCTGAGTATGCATGAGTCTGTCAGAATACTGACTAGCTGAATTTTTGAGGCGCTCCCAACCTTTACGACTGGGTCAACATGAGGACCGCCCAACCCAGTGATTTATGAGTGGAGTGGAAAGCATTGCAGTAACAGGAGAAATTTCAACAGTACAAATAAATCAATGACAGAAGTAGTGCTGAAGGTATGACACCTTCAGAACACGTATCTGACTGCGAGATCACTCACTGGGTATAAACTCCCTTCTTTCCTTCTACAGACTCAAAGCATTTTTTACTTTCTATAATTGCAAATCGCATAATGAAAGAGAACCACACATCTGAAGATACAATAAGGTTGCAAAACTGTTCCTTAACGCAGGATTGCCTTTCCTCAGTAAGTGATCACAGCAGATACCAGTTGGCAGGCCCTATCAGGTGCTGCTGCCAGTTCCCAAAACTTTAAAATCCCAGGACCTTAAAAACCTGTCAGTTAATCATATGTCCTAATACTTTCTTCTATATTTGTATGCATGCATGTTGGCTGTGCTGTAGTAACTCTCCACCTACTTTATCCTTCAGGGATCTCACGGAACAGTGGGGATAGAGCTGAACAATTTAAGAGACCAGTGGTAAGCCAGAACTAGGTTACTATATGTTGCCAGCTTATAAAGTTGCAGTGATTCAGCAGCTACTGCAGAAGTAGCCAGTTCATCCTGCAGCAGTGAGTGGGAACATTGACAGCCATCTCTACTTCTCTAGTACAGCCCTGCTGTGAAAAACGCCAGGTGAAAGCTTTAGCTGAAATCATTAAGGTTTCAGTTAATGAATTTTACCTTATGTGTATATATATGATCAGTTACTGAAGCCTAGACAGCGTGAAGTTAATCCACAGTAACTGAATCATGTGACTGAGCTCCAGGACAGATGATTCCATTCTTTTTCCTCAGTCTGAATCCTTTCCCTGCCAGTACCCTAAGATACTGATTAAGATAGTAATTAAGTATTGACAATTTGATAGGGCTGCAGACACTGTTATCACATCCTCTGTGTTTCTACAGCCCATTAATTTTCACTTGAAGCAGTATTTGAAGAAAAAAAACAAAACAAAAAAACACCAAAACAAACCACAAAACCCAACCAATTATTTTTCCTTTAGCTCCTGCTGCCCAATAATGTGCTTCCCATAGCAGATGCTCTGGTTTCATCCTCAGTGTGTCCCACATATTTCTATTTCCTGTGTATCTCCAGAGATAAAACTATCTTGATCTCTGATGGAAATCAGCTATTATTAATGCATCCTAGTTTAATACCTAGTGTTTCCAAAGGTATTTATGTGGATTTTCAGCTTTTACGTCTGTAAGATGGAATTATCATTCAAGTGAAAGATTCACCAGGTGGCATTTTTCATGTCAAACTTCAGTAAATGCAGCTGCCATTGTGCCAATCTGTGACAAAACACGAAATGTCTGCTGCCTTGCGGATTGCCACCAGATTTATAAATGGACTTGTATGTTCCTGTCTTCCAAAGAAACACTTTAATTGGAAGTCAGATGCTTTTACTACTGATTAGAAACTCTGTCTTTTAGGAATATTATCAAGTCTTTTGGGTTTCATTTGTAAATATCTTCAGCTCATTAGAACATCTCTGAAACGTAATTCAGTGTGAGGCAGTGTAAAGAAATATAACCTGGTGTGATACTACTCAAAGACGGTGTAAGAGAGAATCTAGGGTTTTGTCAATGACCTTTAGTCACACCATTTAGCATTGTAGCCCTGTCACACAAGCCACTGTACGTTGAGACACTTGCTCAAACCAGAACTACATTAACTACGTACAATACATAGTTTGTAAGAGTTTGATGATAATTTTTCCTGTATATTTTAGCGCATATTGATCTATTCTAGAATATTTTTGAGGATCTCCACTGCCTTCTTGAAACTCTAAGCATAAATGAATTCTCCTGTGTAGAACTCCCTCTGACATTCCTATGGGAAGGAGGTGGACCTGTGTATTTAATCACAAATTAACTCATTCAATTATTCCCTTAGTTATTCAGCAGAATGTGGGAGATTTCTCTCTGAACTGTGCTAGATGCTGTACCTACTCTTCACTTCCTCACACTGCCTCTCTTTGTCCATAACACAGAGAGATTTCCTTCCCCTAGACTTAAAAGATTTGAAGGAATTTGTTGTCTTATTAAGAGCCTTAATCCAACTTCATGTAACTGGCATTCACTTTTGTCTTCCTCAAATTCTCATGTTTTTATTGGGTCTTTCACTTCTTCCTTTATGATCACTCCTATTCACAAAGACTACATAATTTGCAATGTTTAGTTCATATCGGTTTTTCTTCCCCACAAACAGATCACTACATCTCTGAAAAACACACTGTTCATCTTTTGGAACTATTTTCTTTTTAACCCTGGCAAATCTGCCTCAGGATTTTCTGTGATTAAAAACTTGGTTTAGATTTCCTTAAGCACTGCATGGATTCCATTGGTGATACTACCCTTCCTCACACTTTCTATTACTACTTCTTGTAGTTTTTTCCCCACGCAAGTTTCACCTGCATCTTTTTCTGAGAGTACCTGCTTTTTTTTGTTCCCTTTCTTCACACAGTTTTGCTCTTTGCCTTTCCACTACATATTTGGAAGTTATCAGCAGTTCTTACAAACCTATTAACTTTGTATTAAACTATCCCTCAGTAGACCGGCTTTTTTGCGTACTAGTTGGCTATCTTGCTTACTTAAAGAATTGCAAGGTAGCACTGTAGAAGCTTACTTTCATAATTTGATATGAAACTTCCCAGAGAAATGTTGCATCCTGATGACATTCAGCAGAAGTCATAATTTCAGCAAAAGCCATAACTAAGATAGTCTGCTTCTTTAGCTTCTTATTTCATAATGGTTTTTTTTTTGTTGTTTTATATAACTTTTTATATACTTCTGTCAAGTTTATTTACTTGTCCTTCAACTTCAACCCGCAAGGTCAGCAGACTGCTCTGTGTCCCTACTCTCTGTATTGGCTTGAGCAGTCTTACTAGGAGTCACAATCCACTGAAAGAGCTTACACTGATATACAACAAACTTGCCTGCATCCATTTCTTAAAGACCTAGAACAAACGCTTAATTCAAGTGGGCTGCAGTGTTCTAGCTCTATCAACACATTTCTCCCCATAACTGCATGGACAGATTTTTCACTTGAGTGTTTTTTAATTTAAGATTTGAAGCTTATAGGTAGAATGGCATCAATGTAATTACAAAAAAAGAAAGCAAAGATATGGTTCTAGTTACCTTTCTTTGTCTTGTAGGGTCCTCCATTGGGGTGTACATCTTGTAATGGGACGGATATTACCTTGGCTAGGCCAGCATTCATCATATATTGATAGAGACGTTTGAAAGTTCTCTCACAAAGACCCTAATGCAAAGTGAAATGGCAAAAGTCATTGTAGCTAATCATCCAGATTCTACGTGAGGGAGAATTTGAGAGAGAGTAATGAATCTCACCAATTCATCCCTCAAATTTCCTAATGTTTCCATCTGGTTTGAACGAGCACTTAGCATACTTGAGAGCTTCTCCATCAGAATATCATATTTGCTCCTCCTAACCAAGAAAAGAAAATTATTTTACATGTAAGCATGCATATACATTTATAAACACGAGTTATACTTTCACAAGATGTCAGTCACTACAGAAAGCATGCTGAAGTGTTCTCAGATTGTTTTAGGAATTACAGTTTTCTCTTCCTTCTGTGAATAGCATGTGAGAGAATTTGCCACTAAGAAGAGACCTCAACTGAGGGAACAGTGACTAAGCCCAGGCTAACTTCACTGGCAATCCACAGAAGGACCAAGTTCTAATCACAAATAAGATAGCAAACCAAGAAAAATTTGTTAGAAAGGTGTTTGAAGTGAGGACACTCAGAATTAACAGAATGATTTGTGCTACAGTAAGAAGAGTTAGGCTTATGTAGGCAGCTGACAGGCACTAGAATACGCTATTGTTTACAGCTCCAAGACAAGTAAGCTTTAACTGTCCAGCAGCTGAAAGAGGAGTTTTTAAAGAAATTGAGAAGGGTCAGTTCCAGGGAAATTTGATGGTTCTGTGACAGCAGAGCAAACTTTCATCATAGTAAAGGGTCACAGCCTACCCAGGAGATCTTGAAAACATCTGACTGGCCCATACCTATCAACATGAAAGCGAGTCAGAAGTAGAAGAATTGAGTGCTGCTGTGCTCCACTCGGTAGTCTTATGACATGGGACTGCATCGTTATGAGACCGTTTCTGTCCAGTACTCTCCGGTGATAATGAATTTTTCCAGCATCCACTCTAAAAAAAAAAAGATGGCAAGATATCTATAGCCGTAGGAACTTCTGCAAATGAATTCTAATTATCCAGTATCCCCAAACACTTAACCTAAATTACCTATGGTCTTAGCGACATTCATTATGTTAATTTTCAAAGTGACAATCTCAAAATTAGGAAGCACCAAAATTAAGATAACTTGTGAAATTGATTTTCATAGCCCTCATCAGCTTAATTACCTAAAAGAGCTTCCTAAGTGGCAAAAACCAATGCCGGTGTGGACTGCAAGCTGCATACGCTTCGTCTCCTAAAAGCAGTGAATCCTTAACAGCAAAGCTCATATTCTCCAGCACTGCAATGCAAACCCAGACGTTCCCTAAGGGGCTGTGTAATGCTCCTCCAGCAACCAAATACACGGCCTAGTTTGGGAGCTGGTAACTCAGGCTCCCGTTCAGGTCACACAGAGGAAGATGTCACACAGGGCAAATTCTGGGGACAAAGGGTGGGCATCCAAGAATCTCTTCAGATCTTGGGCAGGATAAGATGCTTACTCAGCAGTTTAGAAAAGGAAATTAAAATCATTGCTCAGATTTGAAGATTAGAAACTTGTGTATTGACCCAACAGCCAATCTCTGGTTCCATGAGAAAATATCAGGAAATATAATGAGCTCAAGGAAGAGACCAGTATAATTCTAGAAATACAGGCTCCAAGAACCAAGTGCTCCTGGTAGTAAGGACGAGACACTACCAATACAGATACGAGTTTAAATCAATACACAGGAATTCTTAAGGGAACAGATCTTTATAAATAACGAGTGGAAACTTGTAAGCTTTGATTTAATTCACATAGCAAGACAAAAACTTACTTGAAAGCCCCACTGTGGAGATCCCTCTGAAGCTCTCCTTGCCACCTAGCACGGCCTAAACGCTCCAAGATACAGTAGGAGAAGTCAGGGAGTTTTAAGTCGGGGTCCCCCTCCCAGCCTATCAAAGCTCTGTAACGCTGGTCTTGGGAAGCAACAATGACTAGTTTCTCGCCCCATCTAAGAAACAGAATGGAAAGTAATAAATTATTATTAGTTCCATAAAAACAGAGAGCAATCACTTTCCCCCCCCCCAAACACCATTCTTGATATAATCTGCACAAACTGAGTGAGGACTAAATTTTAAAACTTAAGTTAAAAATCTTTTCATGCCAGATATAAGGATTTCACTCACTTTTCAACTGCTTCTGTGTAAGTATAACAGGGTTGCAAATCCTTCCTCCTTATTTGATCAGTGATATCTACTCTCTCCTTAAAATACTGGCAGGAACCTTGTATGCCATCTTTATTATCCAAAATCATGTGGACAGGATAAATATCATCTGAAGGAACAGGATCTCTTTTGGTTTCCAGTATTCCTGTTTCAAGGTCTATTTCTTCATATCTGAAATAAAAGCAAAAAGCCAACATTTAATCAAGCAAGGGGAATTTGGAACTGAAATACAAAACTGCCACAAACAATGCTGAAATATGAGTGATACGAAATATGCTGGGACAATGAAACTCTTCTGAAACCTCAAAACTGGAAAAACACTCCTGGAGTATGACCAAACCTTATCAGCATGCGGAGTGTATGAGGCAGGAGGAGGGGAAAACATTTTTTGATCTTCAGAAATTCAAGAATATTGAAGAAGTGGGAATAAAAGAAACATGTAAAACCATTAGTTTACAGGAAAGGAAATCAAGAATTACCCCTGCCCTGATGAACTGGGACATAATACCATCCTTCGAGGTATTTAAAAGAAGGAGAGATGAGGTGCTTAGGGCCAGGGTTTAGTGGTGGGATGGCAGGGTTAGGTTAAAGGTTGGACTCGATGATCTTAAAGGGCTTTTCCAACCAAAGTGATTCTATGATTCTATGACAACAAACACTGCTTGTACCGAAGTGGTGAATGGCCACTGGAACAGAATTCTAGCCAGGGCTCCTATAGAGGTCTCCTAAATAACGGGCCTCAGAACCACACTCCGCCTTGCCTGCCCTCAGGCAGCTGCCGAGGCGCCCCTTTCAGCCGAACCTGAACGGCTCCAGAGCGGGGACAGGGCCGCCAGCGGGGCGGCTGGAGAGCCAGGCCCGGGTCACCCCAGCAGCGGAGCGAGCCCTGCCCGAGCG